CAACATTCATATTCGAATACACACACTCTCTCTCTTACTTATTGCTCTGGCTTCTCTCTAGGTTATTCCCCGAAATAACCCCTCGGATAAGCCACCCCTGGGTACACTATCCATCAGAGGAGTATTCCAAAATCTTAATATAATGTTTAATTGTTTTAGAGATATCCTTTGTCATTTTTTAATAATTGTGTCGTTATTTTATTACAGGAGGCCCACACTATAGTTATGATCAATTTCGCTTTGATACAAAGTTAAGACATGAGGTTCCATCGTAAAAGGACAACCTAATAGGAGGGATAGTCCAATATTTTAATATAGTGTTTAATTGTTTTAGAGATATCTAATGTGGGACAACAACAATATGATAGATGAGCTATCAATTAGGGATCGAACCTGAAAGGTAAAATGTATCAGTATATATAGGACACATATGTGAAATAAAGAAATTTAAGTCACTGCGACAAACTTATCTTAATTAAGCATGTCTTAAATTCAATCCCTTTACATCTTCTAGATCTTCTTCCTAAACCTATAATCAAAATTTTGGAAATTAAAGTAACGTGTAATTTTTTATGGGGCTCCACGAATGATAAAAGAAATAGATATTACCCAAAATAGGACTAAAACAGTTTGAAAATTCCAAAGTAGGACTGACATGTTTTTATTCCCAAAATAGGACTAATTATTGTCATGTTTTGACAGTACGAGACTTCAAACATGACAATATTTTCTAAACATGACAGTAATTAGTCCTATTTTGAGAATAAAAAACATGACAATCCTATTTTAGAATTTTCAAACTATTTTAGTCATATTTCGAGAACTTTCCCTAAAAGAAAACATCATTGAATTAAATGGTAAGATTTGTGTCTACCCACGAAAGAGGGAGGAGTGGGTATCAGACTTTTATCAGACATCGAAAAGGCTTTTCCCCTTTAAGTATGGTGGAAATGGAATATTTAAGTCAACTTTGTCAATAATAGTTACTAAGGAGTTCGGCTCCTCTCCAGTACATACGGTACTGGACATCTCCATTACATTTATTAGGAAGCTGCCACATGGACCACTAACTAAATGAGTGGTCAGGATGAATTTTTTGCCAATACTGTTCCAAAAAAATTTCTTTTTTCATTGTTATAGGAACGACGCTACTCTTTTCTGATCAAACCATCTCCGGAAAAAACACCTGCACATGTAACCCTAGCTAATTCTCTACTGCCTCTGCTCTTTGGATTAATTTTCTGATTCTTCAATAGGGAGGATGGAGAAGGATGGAGAAAGAATTGTTTCATCTCTACACCAAAAAAACATTCTAGAGAGGGATAATGCACATATACCACATCTGAGTATGGAGTTCCAATCTGAAGCAGAAGCATATGACTTTTATAATGCATATAGTAGGAGGTACGGATTCGGCATTCGTCGAGAATATGGAAATAAAAGCAAAAAGGATGGAATATTAACCTAAAGAAGATTCTCATGCTATAAAGAGGGCACACGAGGTACAGACAAACGAGACAACTTGACAAAAAATCCAAGGGCAGAAACTAGAACTGGATGTCAAGCACGAATGGTTATTTCACTTGATCGAAAGCTGGAAAAGTACAAGGTCAGTGACTTTGTAGACAAACATAATCATCCTCTTCAACCTCTTGATTATGTTCACATGATTCGGTCTCATCGTCACGTGTCTGAGACACAAGCATCACAAATTCTGTTGGCCGATGCTTCTGGATTAAAGCCTAGAGATTTTCATACATATGTGTCACAACAAGCAGGTGGAGTAGAGAGTATTGGTTCTACAAGAAAAGACCATAGAAATTGTCTTCGAACAAAAACAAAACAGTCTTTGGAGTATGGTGAACTTGGTGCATTGATGATGTACTTCAAAAGCAAGAGTGAAAATCCTTCATTCTTTTATGACTTTCAAATGGACGATGAAGACCAGATAACTAATATTTTCTGGACAGATGCACAAATGATAAATGATTATGGATATTTTGGGGATGTTGTCTCGTTTGACACGACATATAAGACAAACAAGGATTATCGGCCATTGGGAGTATTTGTGGGACTCAATAATCATAGAAAAACAGTGATTTTTGAGCAACATTGCTATATGATGAAACCATCCCTTCGTTCCAGTGGCTATTTGAGACGTTTTTTAAAGCCATGAGTGGTGCCAAACCAAAGACAATTTTCACTGACCAAGATGCAGCAATGGCTAGAGCCATTTGTATTGTGATGCCAGAAACATTTCATGCATTGTGCACTTGGCATATTAGAGAAAATGCACTCAAGCATGTGAACCATCTATACCAACATAGTTCGCATTTTTGTGCGGATTTTGAAGCATGCATTGATTTGCATGAAACAAAAGATGAATTGGAGAATGCGTGGAATGCTCTACTTGTTGATAATGATGTTTCTAATGACTCATGGTTGCATACCATTTTTTTGGTGAAGGAAAAATGGGCATGGGCCTATGTTCGAAAAACGTTCACCGCGGGCATGAGATCCACTCAATTGAGTGAGAGCTTGAATGCTGACTTGAAAAGTCACTTGAAGAGTGATTTAAATATAGTGCGATTCTTTACACACTTTGAAAGGGTAGTAAATGAAAAACGACAAAATGAAGCAGAAGCCGAATATGAGTCTGTACACAAGCTGCCCAGATTTAAAATGAAGAAGGCTCCTATGCTCCTGCAGGTTGGGGACATATACACCCCTTCAATATTTGAAGAATTTCAAGAAGAGTATGAGGAATTTCAAGGGGCTCGTATTAGACAAGTCTATGACAATTTGTTTGTTGTCACAGATTATGATGGTGCTAAACATCGACCAGTGATGTGGAGTCTTACAGAGCAAGCAATTGCGTGTGAATGTCGTAAATATGAGACACATGGTATTTTATGGAGTCATGCTTTGAAAGTTTTGGATTTCATGAATATTAAGGTTATTCCTCAACATTACATACTAAAGCGATGGACAAAGGAAGCAAGGTTGGGATACAATCGTGATTTTAATGGAAAACATATTGAGTTGGATGTCAAAGCTCACTTTATGAAGAGATATAATGAGTTATGTCCTCGAATGGTAAAATTAACAAATAGGGCATCTGAATCTCATGAAGCTTACACCTTTGTGTCTAAAGTGTGTGAAGAGTCTACCAGAATTATTGAAGACATTTTGGCAAAAACGTCTCTCGACGAAGAATCAAGTGGCGGGTGCCATGTTGCTATATTGATGGGATCTAGAAATATTGAGACAAATGTCAATGTTATTGATCTTGATGGTCCCAAAGGCATAAAGAAAAGGGATTGTTCTAATAAGGCAAAGAAGCAGCCTAAATCTTGGGTGAAAAAATTAGCAAGAAAGAGAAAGGCAAATAAAGTGCAAAAAAAGAAAAAAGAATCAACAGATGTGGTAAAATACTATTTTTATTATAATTTTATAAACATTTTTTATAAATTATTTTATGTTAAACTTTGCAAGTTCTTCTTTTTGTAGGAACCATTTGCACCCACAACTGGAGTTATCCAACAACGGGCTTCATATTCAGTTTTACCTGATATGCATCAACCATCCGCACATATTCCCATGACTAATTCACTTAATGATTTGATTTCTGTCGAAGAGCACTTTGGAGTTGGAAGTCAAGTCATTAATCCTAACCAAGGTCCAAATAGAAGTGTATATTACAACTTTGGGGCAACAAGTAGTTATTTTTGAGAAGAATGCAGATTAAGAAGAACCTGCTTACTTGCTGGTTGATGTTTTTGGGGTAGGAAGTAGTAGAATTTGGCTTATATGGTGGACAACAGTTTGTGGCTTATATTTAATTGAAAGTTGCAGATCAAGACCTGGCTTGTTGATAATTTGGAGTAGGAAGTAGTTGAATTTGGAGCTGCTGATTTTTTTTGCTAATTTTGATGTAATAGCAGTTTGCCAGCTTATATTTAATTGAATGTTGAAATTTTTGTTTTGTTCGTTAATTTACATTACAGATAGCAGTTCGAGAATTTGATGATTAAAAAACAAATCCAAAGAGCAGAGGCATTAAAGATTTAGCAAGGGGTAGTCATGTGGGTGTTTTTCCGGAGATGGTTTGATCAGAAAAAAGTGCGTAGTGTAGTTGTTATAGCAATTAAACAAAAGAAGAAATTGGGGGCAACATTAACAAAAATAAAATCTTGACCACTGATGTAATAAGTGGCCATGTGGCAGCTTCCTAATAAATGTAATGGAGATGTGCAGTACCGTAGGTACTGGAGAGGAGCCGAACTCGTTACTAAGTACTCCACATTTTTGTCCATGACTTTTTTATTAGTAATATTTAAGGAAACTCTCTTTAAATTAACATTCAATACTACTCGTTGTCCTATGACTATGTTTGGCAGACATAAGCCACTGTCTTCTAACGTTTGTACTATTTAAAAAGTCTTTAAAAGCTTCCAATTGTATGTTTGGCATGCCAAGTTTTAAGAGCTTATAAATTTATAAAAATAAAATATCTTTTTTGAGATGCTACAGTGAGTAACATCTCAGATAAGTCAGTAGCTTCTAGTATTAATTAGTCTTAACAAGTACTGCCTTTTCGCTTTAAAATCTTTTCAGTCATTAAAAACTAACAATTACTAAAAAACTCATAAAAATATCTTTTCAGCTAGTTGTGCCGAACATACACTATTTGTAAAAAGGAAACTGAACCAATAAATCATACTTCCTCCGTTCTTTAATTCTTGCAACATTGTGAATTTTGCACTATTCACACAACTTACTTTGATCACGATTTTCTACTAATATACATAATCAAATTATTACGTATAAAATGTTATTGAATTCCTATAAATGTGAATTTCCAAAATATCAACCTTTTATAATGTTTACTAATACATAATTAAATATAATTACAGTCAAAATTGTGTGCTGAAAAACAAGTCAAACAAGTCAAACTATTAAGAGTACAAGAATTAAAGAACTGTTTCGTTAGTGTTCTTATGTGCAAAAGCTATATGAGTATTTCATGGGAATTTTTGGTATATCTAATAGGATCTCCCATCATTTTATCAGACAACGGTTTGTTTCTTGGTGGATTAAAGCTGTCAACAAGTCGTTGATGGATGTTTTCAGGAAAATTCTATCGGGAATCATTGTTTGGCACATGTGGATGATATCTGGTTTGGGGAGGAAAAGAGAAGAAAACAAAGAGCCTGAGACTCTAGGAGGCGAGAGGAAGAAAACCAGGAGAGACAGAGGATTTGTCGGTAGGGCGAGGGGGAAAGAGAGGGAATTGGGTGGGGTGGGAGACGGGTAAAAGAAAATAAGGAATGGATAAAATTAACGCAGCTATATATACCGTGTACACCGGCGTGTAAAACGCCGTGTACACGAATCATTTTTCTCTTCCCTTTTTACTTGATTGATAATGAAATAGAAGGGGACATAGCCATCAAAGGTAAAAATGATGAAGCAAGCGTCTTTGCTAACGTTTTCCGCGGTGCACCATCTCCATCGTCAAATTAGAAGGTGAGTCTTCTATTCAAACTCCAGTTCTTAGATGATCTAAATTACAAGTTTTTCTTACTCTAAAAAAGTGCACATATTATAAACTCCCAAATAAGCCCCAAATATTCTGTTTGTTAACGTATTTTGTTTGTTTTTAAGATGCAAAATTTATGAAAATGGTAAGTCTTGAAGGCAGACTGTGGGTTATATTTTGGGTTATATTTGTTCAATTTTTTTAAATTTTATTCGGATTTTTTTATGTTGAATGCTTATTACATTGTTATTAGTATGAAATTGAGATGTTTATAATTTTTTTTTATTCAACTATTGTATTTCACTTTTATGCCTATAAAGTGTTTGTTGAAATGCTTCAATGAATTCTTTTGTTCACATCATAATTTTTTTGTATTCTTTCTCCTTTTCTGTTTATATGTTTGTATGAAAATGGTAAGTGTTGAAGGCAGACTATGGGTGTTGAAGTCTTGACCAGTTGAAGGGTGGAGTCATATGCATATATATTACTTCTAGAATGTGCAGAGACTCAAGTAACTGAGTGACATTGTTCATTTCTCTTGGCTTCTTAGTATGATAACTCTTACCTGCAAGTGGAAGAAAACTTCTAAATTGAGATAAAATTATACTCCGTAATATGTTTTTTAGAGATGAAATTGCAGTTGACTTAAGGCAATTAGGAAAGACGAGTAAACTTCTTATTTTAATTCCTATAATTATGCCACAATTGAACTGTAGATGGGTTTGATTTAGGGATGGATACGAATGAAGTGGGAATCACATAACCATTTCTGGTTAAAATTTCTTTTGTAGTTCGGTAGTTTTAGATTTGAAATCTAATTGCTTTGGTAGTTTTGGGTTTTTTACCAGATTGAGTTATGTCTTTTGGATATGAAAATATAAATATTTATTAATTTAAATTTAATAAACCAAATGGAGGTCATTTTTATTGTGTGTGCTTGGTTCTATTTAGTCTTTTTAAACGGTTGAGATACCCTTTTTTGTGCATTAATTTTAAGAAACTAATGTACTATATTTTCAAATATGTGATTTGTAGCAACCAGGGATTAAAGTGATGATCAAGATACTTGCTTTTGGGGGAAAATCAAGTATTACTGTTTGCATACTTTGATCATCAGGATTTATTTCTAAATTTTGTATGAAAATCAAGCATTAGTACAAGGCATGAGACAAAACAAATGAGGACAACAATAAGCAATTTGGAAGTCAATAATGAGAGCTTCAAACCAAAGAACAACAAAGGATTTTTGCTTGCAATTACTTATATATTGACCCCGTTTGGCAATCTGCTGATTGTTTTGAACTGCAAAACGCTGCATTTTGCAGCGGTTAGGCGGCAATCCGTCGAGTTAATGTTTTTCATTTGAAATGATATTGTATTTGGAGTGCTTTGTGTTTACAAACATGTAAGTGGATGAGATTGAGCATGCCTATGTTTACGGATATGTGAAGCGTTTTAGTGCAAGAATGTGAGCTCCAAAGTACAAGATCATTCACATTTTAGTCCTGTAAATAGTCACTTTGTAAAATATGATGTTCTTGAATTCAGTATGTAAGTGTATTTAAATTTACTTTTGTTTTCAAAGATGTACCTTATGTGTTATGAAAATGAATGTGACTTTGATCATTTGATGTTAATACATTTTAAATTTAAAGTTTATGTAGATTTGTTGTGCAAATTAATGGAGTCAGACAAGTATTGGAATTTTGTCTGTGTCCAGGTAACAATGTCTTTTGTGAAGAAGAACTTTACCTTAGAACATATACTGAGAAACATATAATTTTTGTTTATGTCCAGACAATACGTGAATGTGTCTAGATATAGAAATTGTCTAAGCACAAACAATTATTGTCTTGGCACAAATAAAAAAATTTGTTTGCAAGTCATTTACTAGGTAAATTGTTTCTGGACACAAACAACAATAATAACATGTTTATAGGTTTATTTATGAAGGTTATTTCCTCTTCACACGGACAAGTATTATATTGACACAAACAATTATTTGGGAGTTCGTGGTTGAATTATTGTTTGTGTGTTCGTTTATTTTGTATGCTCATATTCGAAGCATTGTCTATGTCTTCATTTATATTGTCTGTGCATGGTTAAATTACTGTCTGTGTATTCATTTCTTTTGTTTGTACATTCGCTTATTTTGTCTGCGTGTAGTCGAAACATCGTCGGTGCATAATTACAACATTGTCGTTGTTCATTTATTTTGTCTGTGTATAAACAATAATTGTTGTTTGTGTGTTCATTTATTTTGTCTGTGCCTAACAAAATTGTCTGTGTTTCCATAATTTCATAGAAGAGAAGCAAACATTACAAATAGTTTTACAACATTTTCTACACATTCATAATTCCCATCCATTTTCTCCAAATCTAATAAGAGGTTCTGTCACTTCTGTGTAAATTACCTGTGCCAAGTCTACAAGTATATCCAAATAGTTTACCTTCATGGAGATTAAAACCTTTCATTGCAACATTTTATCAAACAAATAGAGTGCAGGAGAACAAATTGAATTAGTAAACAATGATATTCTAGTGTTTGACAGGCGTCAACGTTAGTGATTGCACGGAGGAACCTTAGCTCCACTCCTTCCAACCTCGATCCTATCAATGTCGTTGACGAGATTTCAGCGGATGCCATGGCAGTCGCCACCGGAATCTTGACCACGCCGTGGAAATCCTCTTCTCGTACTTCGCAGTTGGTATAAAATGGGAAGAAAATAAACCAGACAAGAGGAAAGATTTGGAGAATGAATGAGTGTGGGAGGAGGAATTGGTTGAAATTGAAGAAGATGGGTTAAAAGAGATGGTACGAAGGCATGGTCAAGAGAGAGGAGATAGAGAAATGTAAGAAAAGAGTAGTGGAAAGGGAAGAAAGTGGATGGGGTAAAAATTAAAGGAAGAAGTGAGTAAAAGGAATGTTATATAGCGTCTAAACAAACGTGTACACTGGCGTGTACATAAGGCATTTCTCGGTGGGGAGACCCTTATTTGAGTATCTTCCTCGGATTCTATGATCTTCCAAATCAAAAGATACGCACAAGACTGGTCTTCAAATCTAACAAAATTAAATTCAAGCAGAGTTCGGACTCGAATATTTTATGGTCTGAAAATTTGGTGCACGCTAATTAGAGGCTTTCTACACCTAAACCTAAACTGGTTAGATAGATTAGACCCACACTCAGTACAAGCTGAACGTGGACACATCTTATTGGGGAAGATGGCGATTTCTAGCTGATGATTTGCGAGAGGTTTCCGAAATAGTAAAAGTAGTCCTCGGACATACCTTAAAAGAGGGCAATTGGGCTGCACCCTTCCTAGCCCAAACGAAAATGAGCATCACTCCAATGCTTTGTTAGTATTATACGATTCGTGAATAATACAATAATACGTACGTTCGTGTATAATACGATACAATTATATAAAAGAAAAAATTCCACTTTTGGTCCCGTGACTATTATACCTCTTCCACATTTAGTCTCTTACTTTCAGATTGTCCACATTTAGTCCGTGACCATTATCCCCTCACCACCTCTCATCCTTCCAGCCAAAATTCCGGCAAATTTAATGCAGATTTTAGGTATGAAAAACCAAATTTAATGCAAAGACTGATATGAAAAACCCAACCTTATATAAAATTTAATTCAAAGACTGATTCTGAGGCTGATAAGTGGACTAAATTTGCTGGAATTTTGGCCAGAAGGACGAGGGGTGGTGAGGGGATAATGATCACAGACTAAATGTGGACAATCTGACAGTAAGAGACTAAATGTGGAAGTGGTATAATAGTCATGGGACCAAAAATGGAATTTTTTCTTATATAAAATACGGCTAAATATATGTTTCATACGTTCGTGAAATGAATAAAGATACGAACGTGTTTTAAACGTTTCACAATTTAAAAATACGACATATAATATATGTCTTATATACTAATTTAATGATGAGAATAAAGAGTAATTTAGCATATGCATTACATTCTTCAACAGTTTAAAATGTACGAAATAGTTTTTCAGATATACGAATTTTAATTCATAGTACAATAAATAATAAAAATGATATTGCATATTTGTGTAGAAGTAGAGAAATATTTCTAGAGAATAGTTTATATTATTGTGACCGTAAATTTGGTGAGCCGCCATAACATTCTTTTCTTTTTGGAGTTTTGTTATGAGTGGAGAATAAGAGTAACAATAGTAATATAAAAACGAATTATGAATTTAAGAATCTAATTTATTAAAACTGATGACTATTAAACAATTAACGAACGTATAAGACATAATAGTTTTTAAAGCATTATAAATAGTATTGAGCAGCTAAACATTTCACTTCAGTTGTATCACTCCATTAGGCTTCAGTTCAATGGTATTTTTTAATAAAATATATATCAATATGTACGGTACGTGTATTATACATTTTATCCTTAAAGTACGTGAGTTTTTAAGTATTTTCTGAAAAATTCATAAACGGAAGTATTATACGCGAATTATACGTTTGAGTGTATTATACGCGAATAAACTAACAGAGCTCCAATGAAGTTCTTTTACAACATTCGTAATCTACCTACTAATGTTATGAAATACTCTCTCTGTCCCTAATAGCTTTGACAAGTTTGACCGTCATGGGGATTAATAATGTAAAAATTGTGTGGTTGAGATATGTGTAGAAAAAAGAAAATTAACTGAAACCACATATTTTTTACTTAAAAGGGAAAGTGGCAAAGTTAACGGAACATCTAAAAAAGGAAAGTTGGCAAAGTTATAAAAGACGAAGGGAGTATCTTATTTCCGATTCTTTTGGTTAGCCGTACTTTAATTTAGAATTGTTTAAATTGGGTAAGCTTTGGTCCACCCAATTTCATTTACTCTACTCTTTCATGTACTTCGAAAGGGAGTGCCCTTTCTGGAGAGGTATCGTCCTAGTCCTCCTATACTATTATCTTTTATTAATAAAATCTGACGAATGTTTTCCGATGTTTGCCCCACTGATTTTAATGGTTTGCCTACCGGATTAAAAGAAGTATATGACCCATATAAATGAAAACTATCAATCTAAAACCTAAAATTTGATAGATTTTGATTAATTTAAATTTTTATTAATTTTTTATTAATTTTTATTAATTCCATTGCTAATCTTTTATAAGTTTTCTTCACAAAACATTACTAATTTAATAAAATTAAATACCGCATCCGTCCCACTAACATTGGGACATGAAGAAGTGATGCAATTATTAAGAAAAGTGAGTTTATGTGATTGATATTGAATTGATTAAGCAAGAATAAAGTAAGAATTATTTAAAACCACACAAAATTTACCAAATTTAATATGAGACAATCTTAGTAGGATGAACCGAAAATGAAAGATGTGACAATCTTAGCGGGATGGAGGGAATAATATTTTAAAATTTTAAAATAAAAAATAATTAAGTTCATGTTAACTTAAGTCCTAGATTGATAATTTTCAATCATTCAGACCATATACCGACACATTTTCATCTTTAGAGCATCTCGAATGCTACAATAAGCACGGTGCACATGTGGTATGAGAGATAGCCACATAAATATTAGTAAATAAATTCTTTATCTCTTTATTTGAATGGTTTTATTCAGTTTTTGTAAGTTTGTCTCCACAATGTCAAGGAGACCGTTTAGATGTTGACATTGCAGTTGACATTGCAGGTATTTATGCCACATGTGGTTATCTTTGCATGGCACATGTGCACCGTGCACACTATAGCATTGGAGATGCTCTAAGTCCCTAATTGATAGCTCGTCTATGTGGCACTCGATGGTTGTTAATGTACAATGGACATGGTTATTCTAATTTTTATCATTTATTTATATAAACTCTACGAGAAAATAGCGTTGATTATCATTATAACAATAAATATAACATTTATTAAATACTCCTTTCATTCCATAAAACTTGGCCAAATTGACTTTTTTGTCATAAAACTTGGCCAAATTGACTTTTTTGTCATAGATATTATATTTGAATGAAATTAAAAAAAATATATACTTTATGAAAGTATATTTAACAAATTTAATTTTCATATAATTTTTATATTTAAATAAATTCATAATAAAAACTATCATTATTCATTAAATATATTTAATTTTCATATAAGTTTTACTCCTATTTATGTAATTATATATAGGAAAATTTCTCATAGTAAAACTCGATCATTGTTGATAAAAACATGTAATATGACTAAGTTTTGTGGGGGACAAGAATATACTTTTTTTTTTAAAATGAGTCGGTTTTTATATGTAGTAATATTACTACGACCGCATTTTTTGAATTTTCTTAAATGGATTTCTTCACTTGAGCTAAAAGAGCCCATGACTACAACAAAAACCCTAAATAACAGCTACGGTTTGCCGAGTGCATTGGGCTGCGACGATGTTGGCCGGCGACGACAAGTTAACGGACAACGATCAGTAGGGGTGTAAAAAAAGTTTTTTTTTTTCACATTAATTTTACACAAACTTTTATTTATACAAAAAAATACTACAATAGGTTTAGAAGAATGTTCCAAAAAAATACATAAAATCCAAGTTTTTTTTATTTGGAGTGGACTGTAAAGACGGCAAGCTTGAGGCGCGGCCGCGCGGGACCTTCTAATTTTAACCCCTTTAATAAGCTACTATCCGCCTCAATCTATTTTCATTTCATTCTGGTGCTAATTTTTATCAATTTTGCTCCAAAACATAAGTAATTTATACTACATTAACTTATTTTACTTGTTAAGATTATTTTACGTGTAAATGCCCAAGACTATTGTAGACATATTAATTGATAGTCGAGTTAGGTTGAGTGAATATGCGAGTATATTATGAGTAAACTATTTGTATACTTTGTTTGTTGGAAATTGATAAGAAACCATAATGAATAAAGTCTTTGTAGCCACGATTGTATGTGAGAAAATAAAGCAACCAAAATGATTATAATAACCATAATAATAGGATAAGATTTATTGAAGTTCATTTACGGTACTATTGCAAAAAAAGACAAATATCAAAAGTATTTCAGACAAAATTTCCTAATTTTTATTCTTTGAAGTTCATTAGGTTAAAGCATCCAAATATTTATATTGTTAATTCGATATTTGATTGAGCCACGTGTGGGCACATCAGCTCTGTGGATTTGAGTATAATTTTATCTAATAAAACACTTGGGACACTATATAATTAGGACATTTTTGACTCCTTATTGTAATTGTTGTGGGGCCATATACTCTATTTGGTGTAACGCGCCATGTGCGATTATGAGTGTGCCCTGTGTTTTATATAAACTACAAATGTTTTATATAAAATATAAATTTTAGTTATATGATTTCACTTCATCATATCACATCTCTAAAAACGACAATACAAACTACTCCTTCTATCCCGCTAAAATTGTCGCATTTTACCTTTTCGACCCCTCCCACCGAAAATGTTTAATATTTTACAAGATTCGGTATATAAAAAAATAGAACAAAGAAAAGAAACATTATGAAATCATCTGAAAGTTGGTTTACCGGTCTTTGAATTCATATCTTTGATCTCAGAAGATCAAAGATATAAAGTACTGCCCATTTGCATAGATATGTTGGTATTTTAGCTCACATCATGGGAGCAGTATAAAATAAACGGAAGAACTCACATCATTGATGCAACAAATTCCAATTCAGATAAGCTTCAGCAAAGAGAGAGAGAGCATGGTTTGATAGCTCAATGAGATCAAAACTAAAGTATTTGGGGCCCTTTTCTGCTGCAATTCCTTCTTTTGAGGATAAATCATTTCAGGAGCCTTCATTGGATCCTTCTACTGGTCCAGCAGATGCATTTTGCCTTCTAGTTTTGGATCCGGAGCAGGTTGATTTCTTGAATTTGAGGAGAAACATAAGGATCACATTTGCTTCCAGATGCAGCAGGACCAATGGAGAGAAAATTTTAACATATACTAAGATCAACCCATAATTTATGTGTGATTGAAGCCATATCAATTTGAAAATTTGGACATCCACTGGTAAATTGTTGAACGCAAAAATTATACTTTCACCATTATAATGGATACAATCAAACTCTTTACAGTTAACTTGCGGTAATTTTAATAGATGCGTATATTAATTTAATAGGGAATCATCTGCTACAATAACATAACATCAAATTACTTTAAATAGGGAAGATGTTTACAATACAAAGAATCTTCTTATGTGTTATGGTGTTAACTTCTCTTTCCCTCATTACCCTCATTGCCCTGTAGTTTGCATATTCTGCAATGAGAATGTTAAGCCTCAAATTACAAGCAAAAAAACAATGAAAATAGCACCAAAACACAAAAAAAGAAACTGAAAAATGACACCAGAACAGTTGATATGTCTTGGCTGAAAAGCCTAATCAACCGACACCAAGATGTGGGGGAGTTTAATGTTCTTTCAATTCCCCGATGTTTTTAGCTTTATAAACAAGTAGGGCGTATCACAAAATTCACACTGGCTTTTAAATGTTGAAAATTTTAAAGTTCTTTTAACTTGTGTTCTACCTGTTTGATTTAAACTTCCATGTAAAAGGTCTTTGAACTTGCAACTTCAACAAAAAAAAAATGAGCTTACAAATGTTCTCATAAAGTGAAGTAACCTCATCACAGTCGTTAAGGAATTGTTTGGAAAGCTTAAAAATCATAATTTACATCTATTTCAACAGAGAAAGAGTCTAAGTACTCGAAAGAAAAGACGGTAAGTAGCCCTTATGTAAGTTATAGGAAACCAGAAATCGTTAACTGGAGTAAATAGCGGCCAGATTGATCCCAAACATAAAATGACAGTATAAACCTATGATAGTGTCACAAGATCGAACCAATTTAAGTTACAAAAGCGGGTTAATAACTTAATACTTTAGCTGAAAGAAGATGTACAAAGTAAAGGCTCTAATTCAAGCAAAAGAAAATAAAATCAAGAAAATAGAACATGATGAATGAGGCCTTGGACACGCGAAACACAACTTTTTAATCAAGCAAATGTGATCTCATTGTTTAATTGATACTTCGAACCATCTTAAGTTACAAAAGCAGGTTAATAACTTAATACTTTAGCTGAAAGAAGATGTACAAAGTAAAGGCTCTAATTCAAGCAAAAGGAAATAAAATCAAGAAAACAGAACATGATGAATGAGGCCTTTGACACGTCAAACACTACTTTTTGAAATTGACAATATGAGGATCCGTTACGGTCAGATTCCTCCTCATGTCCAATGAGCGGACCTTATAATTCAGTTATGTATCAGTTAATAAGGTTTACATCTGCACATGATTCATTATTTTTAAAGCATTCCAAGTATAACAACAACACTACTATAGTTTCTCTGTAAAACACAAGTTTCTTTTAAATATAGTCATGCTTTAGTCAAGTTTTTGGTATTGTTTCTCTTTACATTGATGCATTAGAAACAAATGCAAACAATGTTGAAAAAGCCAAAATAAAACAGGGCAGATGTAAATAAAGGTTGCAAAGCAAAAATTTACTCGTTTTCAAGTGCGCATTTATACAAACACATAGGTGGCACAGATATAGAGGCGAAACTACAAAATTGGAAGATGGAAGCATCAACTCAAGCACCCAAACTAATCTCATAAACAATGGTGGGAGCCCATATAGTACAACCACAGAGGGAGTTGGGAGGCGGCATAATTGAATATTGGAAAACCCAAAAAAGCTTCACGGACAGGGAACTAATCAAATGAATGCACAGGTAAATAAACAAGTGGTTTGAAACAGAGATGCTTAGAACAATAATGATAAAGTAACGATACAATTCAAATCAAATGAACAAAGGAAAAACTTACAAGAGTAAAATAGGGAAGAAGAGGAAAATCTGCTGAACAGCTGCGAGATACTTCGTATTATTTATAATTGAAATGGAAGAGAGGAGCTGAAAGCGTAAGGTTGTGCGTTGCGCAATTGGTTTTGTGTCGCGGTCTTTGAAATCACCGTTAGTGCCCACCGCCCGATGCCTTTATCTAAAATCCTTTTATTGAAATAGAAACTGCGAATAATGGAAGCTGCTTTAAGCCGGAAGGGCATAACGTTGAAATCACCGTAAGTAATGGAAGCTGGGACAATGTACAACAAACTAAACATAAAGTATAGTGAAATTATGCACTAACAGCAACCAACATTTTTATCACGGTTTAATCCCTGACAATATTCCCCTTTGTACTATTGTAGAGATTAATATTTTGATTATTAATTATTGAAATTAGAACTTATAATAAGCCCCAATTCGAGTTTGAATTGAAACCAGTTATTCAAAATGAAGGGAAGCAAGCCAAAAAATGGAAGCATTTTAGGAATCTATAAAGGGGTTATTCTCTGGAATACTAAATTAAAGCTGATTTCCAAAAATGTGACCACTTTTACATTTATACAAATATGTGATTACAATAAAGTGACAACTAAATATATTCATGCCACTATCCCATTTTCAAGTCACTGTCGCTGTCGGATGTCACTGCCGCTATCCTCGTGTCACTGTTGCTGTCATTGCCCATGTCATTTTCGCCGTCATCGCTCGTGTCACTGCCATCACCGCCGACGACCACATTACCACAGTGACACCGTCGTAGTGACACCACCGCATGCCACAGTGACACAACCACAGTGACGCAGCCGCTAGCACCACCCAATTACTTCCGCCACACTACTTCGACCACCGCGAAGCCCAACGAACAGCAGCCCCATGCCCCAGCATCCCAAACCCAATAGACCACTGCTCCAAACCCATTCTACTAGCCCAGGTGCCCATCGCCCCCACCTGCACCCTCCTCAGCTAGCCTCAGCCCCTCCCCTGTCACAGCCCCATCACCAGCACACTTCACAGCGGCCACACGCATCAGATCCTCACCCCCTGCCCTCTAGCCCCGCCCTGACCTGCCCCCATCCACCACCCCCATCTCCTGGTCCGACCAGCCCAGCCCCAAATCCACCCCTCCCCATCCTCGAATTAGCCACCATCCACCTCGGCTACAGTAAGGTGAAGAAGAAAAAAGTGGGGATTTGGAGGAGATGGCAAAGGTTTGCTAGCTACGATGAAGAAATTCACGGCGATGAGGATTGGCTGCGACGAAGACAACTACGGCGATGTGAGTTGGATGCGATGAAGACAGCGGCGGCGATGGCTGGCAGGGACGAAGACAGCGGTGGCGAGGGTTGGATGGGACGAAGACGGCTGCGGTGGCGTGCGTGCGGTGGCTGTGAGGAAGTCGGCATTGGTCTGTCTCCTTTAATTCAATTGTTGGCAGATCTGCTTCGTTCCAAGAGGGAGAGGGGGGTTTGTCCGTTGAGAGAAAAGTTGAATTTTAATCGTATATTTGGAAATATTAAAAAGAGTCATATTTTTGTTTTATAGAAGTGTGGGAGTAATATTTTTGCCATTCTTTCATCTATAAATTATTAGAGAAAGAAAAAATAAAATAAATTACTTTAATGGTTGGATTTCAAATTTTCAACTTGAGTTTTTGGACAGTCTTCTCGTTCGCATAGGGTTGTAGGAGTTCCGCCGTTGCATGTGTGCGGTAAGCTTGGGAAGTGCGGCTAATTTGCGGACGAATCAAGGGGATGCAGTCGTTGAGTGAGTCCAGCAGAATAAAGATGGCCATGAAGGACTTGGTGCAAACATGGCAAGGTTTGGTTCTTGAAGAGGAGAAGGAGGGGATTGTTATGGATCTTAAAGAGGATTCGGGTGAAGCAGCCAACAAAGGGCTAGGGTTTGCGGTTGTTGGACGGTTGGTTATTCATAAATCCGTCAAATTTCCCTATTTCAGAGACCTGCCGGTGACGTGACGGAAGGCGGCCGGACCAGGACCAGAGGCGGCCGCCTATTTGGCCGCCTACCAGATTTTTTGTGCTATAAATACCCCGATTTTTGGTGAACTCAAACACACCTCTTTCAACCCTAATTCAGTTCAAAAAGGTCCTGTTCTTCAGCTATTTCCGCAGCTCCAAGGATTTTTGGGAGAGAGAAACTTCAAATCTTCATATCTTCTTCATTTTAGCTACAAATTGTAAGTTCTTTATATGTATTTTCATCTTCTCAACGAGTAGAATCTGAATCTGTGCTTTGTTTTCTCGATCTGTTCTTCGAATATTTCCAGAATATTTATCTAGTATTTCGCATTTTCTTCCATAAATTAAATAAAATAGTTGTTGATGTTGAATTCATTCCAATTAATTATATAGTTGTTCACTAGCCTCAAGGTTGTTATTTATCTGAATAAAGTTAATTTTCACGAAGTGCAAGTATTTTTTAATTAATTTCGGTAATTAGGTGTTATTATTGCATAAATTAAATTAATTACACAAAAATAGAAAAAAAATAGTCTCGGCCCTAATTCCAGTTTATTTCACTGTAATATCACCCCTAGTAGTCAACAAAAAAAAATTAGAACGAATTTAGCCTATTTTTAATTGCCTTTTGTATTTTATAGTTAAAAGTGGGAAAATTTTCAATTAGGGTTAAAATTGGATTTTAGGTTTAAAAATTCGTGAAAAATTCCAAAAAATCATATTGTAGTTCCAGAAAGTTTATTTTGACAATATCTTATTTTTGTTTAATTTTTGCTATTATACATGTTTAATTCCTTGTTAATGTTTAATTTATTTACCATATTGTTGAATGCAAAAAATAATGTTTAGTAGCTAAATTTGTTTTGGGCATGAATTGAGTAAAGGAATATGGATTGACTTGTTAGCCGAAAATTAGGGGTTAAAATTAATTAATTGAGCTAGTTATTCAATTTGATGAATTAGTAATTAATAATTTTTAGCCAATTTCATTAATTCAATTTTGGAAAATTATTTCTAACTTGTCTATGAGATTAGAATTTAATTCAAGCCAACCATTTTTGAATACATTAATGAAACCTAGAAATAGGATAAATTAATGAAAGTAATATCTATTCTTGTCTATGAGAAAAGAAATTATTAGTCCAATTGTTGTTTTAATTCCTTTAATTACTAGGTCCAAGAATATATCCATTTCCAATTACTCAATTCATTGCCCTTACTTGCCTCAATAATTTTTTAGAATATTTAAATCTTAAATCTTTTAGTTGAAATTTGCTCCTAGTGTAATTGTGCAATTTGGCCTAGTCTAGAATACAATCACCCTTTTTGTATTGAAAAAGCTTCCAACAATTAGCGATAGCCCGTGACTAAGACTAAATTAAGAAAACTCCTCCGCCATTCCTCAAGAGACACGATACTCGGGGAAAAACCGAAAGGTTAGACTCCGTTTTACTACAACGCCGCGAAAGCGGTTATCAAATGGCGCCGTTGCCGGGGAATGGCACGGTAATTTCTTAATCTAGATCTAGCATAGGTGAATTCTAGTTAGGGAGACTTTTTCGCACTTGCGACATTTGTATAAAGATTTCAGGATAAATGAATGCACACCCGCTCTAAAGGAGTGGAAGGGCTACTTGAACTTAATCTTGAACCTGAACGAACTTTGTGGAAAAATCTTTTGATCCACAAGAAACCAATCATGACGGACCAAAAGACGGTGCTGCAAAACCTCACGCCAAGCTTCATCGAGGATGATAGCATAAGCGCACCAACAATAGAGGCGGCCAACTTCGAGATAAAACCCGCCATTATCAACATGATGTCTAATCATCAATTTGGCAGGTCCAAACAAGACGATCCCAGGGCCCACATGCTGTGGTTCACCAGAGCGTGCCAAACATTCCGCTTCAACGGAGTGACTCCTGACGCTGTAAAGCTGACCCTATTTCCTTTCTCACTTCGAGATAGGGCATCTCTATGGTTGGATAGCTTTCCAACAGGACATTCCACGACATGGGCAGCACTACACCAGGCGTTCATGCAAGAGTACTTTCCTCCGTCGGCGGTTGCTAAAATTAAAACAGCAATCCAAAATTTTAGGCAATTCCCGACGGAATCATTAAATGAAGCATGGGAGCGCTTCAAGGATATGAGAAACAAGTGTCCACTCACACTGATGGACCCTAGCAGCTTGATGTTCCATTTCTATAATGGGCTTCAAGTTGGAAGCAAAAAAGAGCTTGATTTCTCTTCGCAGGTGGGATCGTTCCTTGACATGGCGCCCGACGCCAATGAAGCTCTGGTGGAGAAGGTCACTTCCAACGCAAGATACCGGTACGATGAAAGAACTCCAGTAGCCACAAAACCAGGCTATCTTGAAGTTGACCAACTCACGGCCTTAACCGCAAAGATTGAAGGGTTGGTGGTGGAAGTGAAAAATCTGAAGGGCGAAAACAATCACACCAACCAGGTCAACCACATAGGTGCTGCCCCGAATCAGCAACCATCCCGTTACATTGGGAACTCAAACTCTGCCCCACACTCATCACAATTTAATGTTTATTCACCTGTTTCTAATTCTACTGAACTTGTACTCTCCTGTGAGATATGTTTTGGTCCGCATTTGACCAATTCATGTCAATTAGTTGATGATTGTAATGTAAGTAACAACAGGGAGGTAAACATGCTGGAATATGGCCGAACGAAACAAGAAGGGCCATGGGCAAATCAAGGTAATAGGGGGGTAACACAAATTACCCTCCCCAGAATTACCAGGGGAGAAATTACCAGGGCAACCAATGGCGGGGGGATTACAACAATGGTCCTCCTCATGGAGGTTACCAAGGTAACCAGAGCTACCCCATCAACAACAATCAAGGGCACAACTTCCATGGGCGAAGCCAAGGAGGGGCAGTAAACCAATCAACTCAGAACAATCAGGTTTACGTGCCCCCACATATACGACAAACAGAGGTGGCCCAAACCTCGAAGATAGGCTTGTTGGTAGCTGAACTAGCAAGGCAACGGGAGGTAATGGCAAAATACAAAGCTAGCACTGACAATCAGATCAAAACTCTGATGATGCAAATTACTCAGAATAATGTTCCCGGTCGTCAGCCTGGCAATTTGCCTAGCACTACATAACCTAATCCCCGTGAACATGTGCAAGCTATCACTCTCCGAAGTGGGAGACAAACAACCAAGGACAAGCAGAAGAACAATGAGGAGGAGGAGACACCTAGCATGACACCTGAAAAACATATTGATGCTCCAACTGAGAAGAGCATGGAACCAACACGCCCTAACACAAAGGTCACCATTGTCAAACCTTCTCTCCCGTTTCCTTCACGGGTTAGAAATGATGACGATAGTAGGAAGTACAACAAATTCCTAGACCTACTCAAACAACTCCACGTCAACCTGCCGCTGATGGATGCATTGGCGGAGATGCCAAAATATGCCAAGTTCTTCAAAGACTTGATGACAAACAAGAGACAGCTGCAGGTGCTCTCAGTCGTGGACCTAAATGCAGAATGCTCAGCGGTGGTTCAAAGGTCAATACCTGAAAAGCTAAAGGATCCAGGTAGCTTCACTATCCCTTGTTCAATTGACAATTTCAATTTCAATAATGCTCTAGCTGACTTAGGGGCGAGTATCAACCTGATGCCCTCCTCTATAGTCGAGAAGCTAGGACTTGGGGAAATGAAACCCACCAGGATGTGTCTTCAACTGGCTGATCGCTCAGTCAAATATCCGAAAGGAATTATTGAAGACATCTTGGTCAAGGTTGACAAATTCATTTTCCCAGTCGACTTTGTAGTAATGGACATGGAAGAGGATAGGGAAACACCTCTTATTCTGGGAAGGCCCTTTCTGGCTACCGCCAGGGCCTTGATTGATGTCACTGATGGCTCATTAACTCTAAGAGTTGGAGATGATTTATGCACCTTCCGACTCTCCGATGTTATGAAACACCCCATAGATTCCTTGCAAGGATGTCATTTTCTTGATACTTTCGAATCAATTGAAGGATATCTATTTGGGGGAGAGAATGGACATGTAAGTGATAAGGCATGTCTGTTAAACGAAGCAAACAGTGACATGAGTGATGCATGTGAGAGTTGTGAGGACGTAATGATTGAGCAAGCTTCTCACGAAGTAATGTCTGAGTTCGGGGGGAGAAAAATGAACAAAACTTAAGAAATGACCACCACCTCGAACTAAAGAAACTCCCTGACCATTTAGAATATGCATTCTTGGATGACGAAGGCAAATGCCCTGTCGTCATCGCCGCAAACTTAAGTGAGGAACAAAGGGGCAAATTACTTGGAGTCCTTAAGACACACAAGCAAGCAATTGCTTGGAAACTTGAGGACATCAATGGAATAAGTCCAACCTTTTGTACCCACACCATCAAGACCGAGGAAGGGTTTAAACCTGTCGTCCAACCACAACGATGTTTGAACCCAAACATGATGGAAGTAGTGCGTGCTGAAATCGTCAAACTGCTGGATGCGGGTATCATTTACCCCATCTCTGATAGCCAATGGGTAAGCCCGATTCATGTTGTCCCCAAAAAGGGGGGAATGATTGTCACGAAAAATGAAAAGGGTGAACTTCTGCCCAGTCGAACTGTTACCGGGTGGCGAATGGTAATTGATTACCGCAAATTGAATGAAGCCACCCGGAAGGACCATTTCCCCCCCCCCCCCCCCTTCATCGATCAATTAATAGAGAGGTTGGCAGGCCATAGTCATTATTGTTTCCTGGATGGCATGAGTGGATACTTCCAAATTCATGTCAACCCGGAAGACCAAGACAAAACTACGTTCACATGCCCTTTTGGGACCTTTGCTTTTCGTAGGATGTCTTTTGGTCTCTGTAATGCTCCTGCCACTTTCATGAGGTGCATGATTGCCATATTTGAAAAATACATTGGCCACTTCATGGAGGTATTCATGGATGATTTCTCTATTTTTGGGGAATCCTTTGAAAAATGTCTGGAAAACCTGGAAAAGGTACTTATCCGCTGCAAGGAAACCCACTTAGCCTTAAGTTGGGAGAAATGTCACTTCCTTGTGAAAGAGGGTATAGTACTTGGACACAAAGTGTCAAGTAACGGGGTCGAGGTTGACCGTGCGAAAATTGAAACGATAGAGAAACTCCCTCCACCAACCACGGTAAAAGCCATCCGCAGTTTCTTGGGACACGCGGGCTTTTATCGTCGTTTTATAAAGGATTTCTCTAAAATCGCAAAACCTCTCACCCGGTCACTTGAAAAAGATGCGGTTTTTATATTCTCTGATGAATGTCACCAAGCTTTCCAAACACTTAAAACACAACTTATCAATGCTCCAGTACTTGTGGCCCCGGATTGGAGTTTACCTTTCGAACTCATGTGTGACGCTAGTGACTTAGTAGTGGGAGCCATTCTCGGCCAAAGGAAGGACAAGAACTTCCACCCGATCTACTACGCTAGAAAACTCTATCCGGACCACAACTGAACTACACCACGACTGAAAAAGAATTCCTTGCTATTGTTTGTGCTTTAGAGAAGTTTAGGACTTACATCATTCTTTCGAAGGTTTTTATCTATACCGATCATTCGGCCATTAGATATCTCCTCCAAAAGCATGATGCTAAGCCTAGACTGTTACGCTGGGTTCTTTTGTTGTAGGAATTTGATATTGAAATCAGGGACCGAAAAGGGTCTGCTAATCAGGCAGCTGATCACCTTTCAAGGTTAGATGTCGAATTAGCAGAAAACTTTGGAAGATGCGAGGTGGAGGAACTTTTTCCTGCGGAGAGGTTAATGGCAATATCCGCCAAGGAACAAACACCATGGTATGCCGACATTGCCAACTACCTTGTTGTTACCGAATTTGTGCTGACCAGGTGGTGAGAAGATGTGTTACTGAAGCTGAGGGAAGAGACATACTGAAACATTGTCACAGCGGTCCTACTGGGGGCCACTTTTCAGGGAATAGAACTGCCAGACGGGTTCTGGACTGTGGGTACTTCTGGCCCACGATTTTTAAAGATGCTAATGTATTTGTTTCCTCGTGTGATAATTGCCAGCGAATCGGGAACATTTCTGGGCGCAATGAGATGCCCCAACACTATATATTACCTTGTGAGGTATTTGATGTTTGGGGCATCGACTTTGTTGGACCTTTTCCCAGCTCAAGAGGGAACAAATACATTCTTGTGGCAATTGATTATGTTTCTAAGTGGGTTGAAGCTCAGGCCTGCGTCACCAACGACTCTCGAATAGTCGTGAATTTTCTGAAAAAGTTGTTTACGAGGTTTGGTGTGCCTAGGGTTTTGATCAGTGATAGAGGGACTCATTTTCATAATGACCCTATGGCCCGACTTTTGGCCAAATATGGAGTCCAGCACCGAAGCGGAGTAGCGTACCACCCCCAGACTCAGGGGCAGGTTGAGAACGCTAACAGGGATTTGAAGTCCATTTTAGAGAAAACTGTTGCCCAGACCAGGAAAGACTGGTCAACTAAACTTGACGACGCACTTTGGGCATTTCGGACCGCGTACAAAACCCCGATTGGAACCACCCCATTTCGCCTAGTATACGGGAAGTCTTGCCACCTACCCGTTGAACTCGAACATGAAGCACTTTGGGCGATGAAAAATGTGTGTTTCAAACTTGACGCTGCAGGGAAAGAACGATTTTACCAGCTAAATGAACTGGAAGAGTGGAGCGTGCAAGCTTTTCATAATTCCAAACTCTACAAAGAACGGGCCAAACTCTATCATGATCAACACATCAAGGCCCATGGTTTCAATGCTGGGGACAAGGTGTTACTGCTCAACTCCCGGTTAAAACGTTTTCTGGGAAAACTGAAATCAAGATGGTCCGGACCGTTCACGGTCGTGAAAACTTACCCCTATGGCACCATCGAGATCGAAGATGAAGCGGGGGTCCCTTTAAGGTCAATGGCCACCAACTCAAACTTTACCACGGTGGCCCGGTCGAAAAAAGCAAGGAGATTCTCTATCTCCAGAAATTTTGAACCAAAGGAGGAAATTCGTCAAGCTAGTGACGTTAAAGAAGCGCTCATTGGGAGGCAACCCAACACAAAAAAAAAAACTAACCTTAAAAAATATGTTATTTTGTTTTTTTTGCAGATGTCTGGAGGAGGAAGCGACGATCCCATCTTTCAGGAGCCACCACTGGCTAGGCATGACCCATTGCACGTACCAGATATCCCATTCGCTACTGATGCTGACCGCACACGCTTCCAGACGTGGGGACAGTACCGCACTCTTCTAGCTCCCATGATCCTGGATCAGAGGATGCTCGAGGAATGGGGATACTGGGCCGACATTGATGCTCTACTAGGAGATTCCTTGTGGCGTGGGATTCTATCCATACAGGAGAGAGCCAGCTTCCCATTGACGATGAAGTTCCTATGCTCTCAACGCTTCACTCACTACGGCCACACTGTGCACACAGGATCTGTCATTAGGCCGGCGACTCAGATGAGATTCACTATCATGATCATCGAGCACTCCATCACTGTGGCTGAGCTCGGATGGAGGATTGGGCTCTATGCTCCTGCATATACACAGACAGACGAGTTCTGTGCTCTCCCGACACGTTTACCTGAGGCATTTGATATTGATGAGTTCTGACACAGGCACTCCACAGACACCAGACCGTTCCTCCGCATGCACCCCCAGTCGAGCCGGTGGAGGCAGACTCACTGGTATATACTCTCCTTTGTACTCTCTTCTGGTTTTTTTGGACGACCTAACAACACGAACAGGTTGTCCAAAAAGGACATCCTATTCTTTTGGAGTCTGGTTCACCGCACCCCGGTGAATATGGCAGTCCTCTTGGCTCGTTTCTTCCGGAGTCAGGGGAAGAGTGTTCGCCGCACGATCCAGGCAGGGCCCTTCGTCACTACTCTCGTCCGGTCTTTCTATCCTGACCTAGACATTCCAGATCTACTCCCACTATAGGATAGCATTCGCATTCTTAGATCCTCATCCTTTGGGAACATGAGGATCAAGAAGAAGCGAAATACTCAGGAGCTGCCGGGCATTGAGTAGCCGACACAGCAGAGTAGCTCTTCTCGAGCCCCACCACACAGGAGACCTGGTGAGCCAGCCTTGGACATGCCTAGTGCCTCAGATTGGAGTGCGATGATGGACGCGAAGAGGGGTCTTCAGACCTCATTCGTAGATTTTCAGGGTGCACAGGAGAGAGCATTCCGGGAGATGCGAGAGGCACATGCGTCGGCCCTGGGAGAGTTCAGAGATTATAGACTGGCACAGGAGGGAGCCAACAGGGATATTCTGGAGCAGCTAGAGACCCAGCGACTGGATATTGAGGAGATACGAGAGTGGCTGCGGCCTAGTCATGGATCACGAGATGACACAGGCGATGCCTAGATTTGCTTCTTCCTTGACTTTTATTTTTGTTTGTTTGTTTATTCAGGATTGGACATTGCGCTGCTCTTCTGACTTGAATGCTCTCACAAACTAGCTATGGATGCTGTAAGAATTTTTAAAACATTTTTATTCCTGTTTTCATTATTCCTCTTCACAAAATCTTTTCAAAACTCAAGTGTGAGGAAAGAACAAAAAAAAATGTGCCTTTATTTCTAAACTTTGTGCAGACCTCGAGGGCGAGGCCCAGCTCAAGTGTGAGGAGGTTGCGTTTTACACTCAAAAAGTTAAAACCTTGTTTTAGATCAATCTTTTTACTATTTTTGATATGAAACATTCACCTCTCAATTGTTATCAATCACATAATAGCTTAGAGGATCACCCTTATTATAAGAATTTACTTTTATTATTATTTTTAGAAAACTTGAAATTGTTATGGGTTTTGGTTGCGAATGTAAAGGGTTAATTTTGTTTTAATAGGACATTCATTTTATTCATAAAAAAAATACTAGTATTAATAAATCTCTTCAAAACTCATTGTTAAAGGACAATTCCATCTCCGAAAAGGGGCTCTGTTTCATTCGTTAATCATAGTCTGTGAGAATGAAATATGCATCTACCATGGGATAACACCGCCAACAAGAGTGGACAAGAGGCAAAAAAAAAATTGTGAATAAGATAAATGTCCAAATTAGAATAATGAAAACCTTGGGATAAGGAATTGATTGGTGGTTTAACATAATCAATAGTTTCTTTAGTAATAATAATTTTAAATTCTTGTATTTTGGGTGATTTTTCTAAAATGTTTAAAAATTGACAATAAAAAAGGGAGATTTTTGTTTCTATTTCTTTAATAGCAATTCGATTGTGATTCGGTCCGGTTTACCCTTTTTGAGTGTGTGTGCAACTAATTTGTCGCTTGAGGACAAGCAACACTTAAGTGTGAGGAGATTGATAAGTCCATTTTTGTACTTATTTTTCTTATCAAATTTAAGTGATTTTGGACTGAAAAACAGAAAAACAAGGCATGTTTTATATATTTTGGTTCAAGTTTCGTGAAATCAGGTAAAAATCACATCCATGATATGTTTGGTGAAATTTCGGGTCAATTTAGCACAAAATGCGTCAATTTGAGTAACAAATGATATCATACCGAAAAAAGGAAGCAGAATTTCAAAGTGGTCCAGAAGGGAAAGTTGAAGAGCACAAAATTGAGAACAAGACGGACAAAAAACCTCATAGGCGCCCAAATAGGCGCCCAGATTGGCCGCCTACCAGGCCGCCTACCAAGTTTTGAAAAAAGTTAATTTTGATCAAGTTTGACCGGACCGGAGAAAAACGGAAGGCGGCCGACACTGGATGGAAGGCGGCCACCTTCGATGGCCGCCTGCGGCACAAGGCGACGAAACAACCACCGGCCGGTGGGATTTGACGGCAGGCGGCCAGACAGGAACGGCAGGCGGCCGCCTGCTGGACCGCCTGCGGCGGACGAGTTGACCGGCGTCATGTCCTGCCGGTGACGTGACGGAAGGCGGCCGGACCAGGACCAGAGGCGGCCGCCTATTTGGCCGCCTACCAGATTTTTTGTGCTATAAATACCCCGATTTTTGCTGAACTCAAACACACCTCTTCCAACCCTAATTCAGTTCAAAAAGGTCCTGTTCTTCAGCTATTTCCGCAGCACCAAGGATTTTTGGGAGAGAGAAACTTCAAATCTTCATATCTTCTTCATTTTAGCTTCAAATTGTAAGTTCTTTATATGTATTTTCATCTTCTCAACGAGTAGAATCTGAATCTGTGCTTTGTTTTCTCGATCTGTTCTTCGAATTTTTCCAGAATATTTATCTAGTATTTCGCATTTTCTTCCATAAATTAAATAAAATAGTTGTTGATGTTGAATTCATTCCAATTAATTATATAGTTGTTCACTAGCCTCAAGGTTGTTATTTATCTGAATAAAGTTAATTTTCACGAAGTGCAAGTATTTTTTAATTAATTTTGGTAATTAGGTGTTATTATTGCATAAATTAAATTAATTACACAAAAATAGAAACAAAATAGTCTCGGCCCTAATTCCAGTTTATTTCACTGTAATATCACCCCTAGTAGTCAAAAAAAAAATTAGAACGAATTTAGCCTATTTTTAATTGCCTTTTGTATTTTATAGTTAAAAGTGGGAAAATTTTCAATTAGGGTTAAAATTGGATTTTAAATTTAAAAATTCGTGAAAAATTCCAAAAAATCATATTGTAGTTCCAGAAAGTTTATTTTGACAATATCTTATTTTTGTTTAATTTTTGCTATTATACATGTTTAATTCCTTGTTAATGTTTAATTTATTTACCATATTGTTGAATGCAAAAAATAATGTTTAGTAGCTAAATTTGTTTTGGGCATGAATTGAGTAAAGGAATATGGATTGACTTGTTAGCCGAAAATTAGGGGTTAAAATTAATTAATTGAGCTAGTTATTCAATTTGATGAATTAGTAATTAATAATTTTTAGCCAATTTCATTAATTAAAATTTGGAAAATTATTTCTAACTTGTCTATGAGATTAGAAAGTAATTTGAGCCAACTTAATTCAAGCACATTAATAAGGCCTAGAAATAGGATAATTTTAATGAAATGGATTTACATCTTGTCTATGAGAATTAAATTCAAATTGTTTGAATAATGAATTTAATTAGTTAATGAATTTGGCTATTTTTATTAATTAAAATTTTGGAGAATTATTTCTGCCTTGTCTATGAGATTAGAATTTAATTCAAACCAACCATTTTTGAATACATTAATGAAACCTAGAAATAGGATAAATTAATGAAAGTAATTTCTATTCTTGTCTATGAGAAAAGAAATTATTAGTCCAATTGTTGTTTTAATTCCCCTAATTACTAGGTCCAAGAATATATCCATTTCCAATTACTCAATTCATTGCCCTTACTTGCCTCAATAATTTTTTAGAATATTTAAATCTTAAATCTTTTAGTTGAAATTTGCTCCTAGTGTAATTGTGCAATTTGGCCTAGTCTAGAATACAATCACCCTTTTTGTATTGAAAAAGCTTCCAACAATTAGCGATAGCCCGTGACTAAGACTAAATTAAGAAAACTCCTCCGCCATTCCTCAAGAGACACAATACTCGGGGAAAAACCGAAAGGTTAGACTCCGTTTTACTACATGATGCAAGTATACCTCCACTGATGATGTCACTACTGCAAATGCCAAGGCTCTTTGTGCAGTACATCATGGAGTAAACGTCAACTGGGAACAAGTTATGGTACGGTCCCTGATTGAGTTTATAAAAAAGAAGAACCCCAAGACAGGCCTATATTATGGGAAGTTAGGCCATGGGGTGCTCATCTCTGAACTGCTTCTCAATCAAGGTGTTACCTTGAGGAAGACCATACATCTGGATCACACGAAGGTAATCTTCCTATCTGCTTCTCCACATAGAGAAATTGCTATCAAGGCAGAACTTAAGAGACAGCTTCAGCTTGATAACAAAAGACAACAAGGAGACAAGGTCCAGAAACTTCTCTCTGAAGCACCTTCTGTGGAGAAAAAGAAGAAAAGGGAGAAGAAAACAGAACAAGTTGCACCTCCTCCATCCATGAAGGCTGGACTTAAGAGGAAGAGGACCACCAAAACTAAGAAGAAGGTTATCAAACCTTTAATTACAGTGTCTGAGAAGGTAGCAGACATTCAGGGGGAACCAGAGAACCCCACTCCTGTTGCCACCCCAGAACAGAATAGGGTGCCAACATCACCAGAACACCCTAATGCAGGGAAAGAAGGGTATCTGTCCTTACTGGATAGACAATTTGCTCATGTACTAAGAATGGAGAAGATGGAGGATGGGACCCCTTCATAAGATCATCCAATTCTTTGACCACTATGAGCCTGAAGAAGAGGCCATACTGAAGTGGGTAGGCACTGATGATGTCTCAAAGTGCTTTGCCCTCAACTACCTCCATTCTGTCCTCGAGAAGAAGAAGGCAAGTTACAAGGGAAAGGCTGTTCTCATATCCTCATCCTCAGAGGAGACAGTCAAGGCCCTGGAAGATGGAGAGATAGAAGCCTTTGAAGAATGGCTTTTTGTCAAGAAGGCTAATGAGTCTGTGCAACCTCACTCTACACCAGGAGAACCCTCTGTACCTAAGACAGAAGGGCATGCTATGATGGAACTCATCAAAGAGTGGAGAGCATCTCTGGTCGAAGAAGATGTACTTGAGGTAATCTCTCCAACCCCTTCTGCTCATATCTCAACAGAACCCCAAATACCCTCTCCTCTTATTCCAACAGAAACCCTTCCTACAGAGAACCCTCAATCAAAACCAACACAACAGAAAACCTCAACCTCTCCTCACTCATCAAATAAGAAAACCAAATCACCCTCCACCTGCAAAGAACTTATCCCAATCAGAAACCGCTCCCCCTCACCTCCACCATCTCCTCCACAACAGAATGCCTCACCTCAACAGAAAATCCCTTCTCCCCAACCTACACCCCAGCACCAGAATTCCCTCCCTCCACAGAAATCAACTTCCACACAAAATACCCCCTCACCCTCTCCTGCAGCAAATTCTCCCAGAACCTCTTTGCATTCTGTTGCATCTACTCCCAAGAGACAGCCTCTACACCACATTCTCTCGTCTGATAGTGAGAATGATGGCTTCCTTTCATCCTCTCTTGCGGGAGATCTCACTTCTTAACGTCAACCAACTCCTACCAGAGAACCCTCTCCTCAGAAACCCTCTCTGCAACAGACCAGAAGGCCTCCTATGCACAGGTCCAGAGGACTGGGAATGCCAGAACCTGAAGGATCAGAACCACAAATCCCTTTCAACAGGTTTGTTGAAACTGCAGAAGTATTTGGTGGTCAAGTCCTGGAAGGGATGGACAAGCTGATCCAGATCAATGACAAGCACTTCGAGCACCTTGCTCATGTGAATGATAACCTCAACTCTGGGATGCAATTTATCTCCGACCGCTTCGAAAATCTCACAGAATCCCTCCATAATTTCATGGCCTCATCCTCTGCCAGAATAGATGCACTGTCAACAGAAGTGGACAGTATTCACAAGACTCTATCTATCTTTCATCAAACCTTACTGAATCAAGGAAAGGCCATCAACACCATATCTGAGA